CCCTCTTCCTCTTGTCGGCCTCACTCTCCCTTGCCTTATTCACGTCCCTTCCTTCCCACTCGCATCCATCAGGAATTTCTTCTACTCCATAGCTCGTGTCAGCGGCTGCTCCTCCCGTTTCTTCCCCTACTAAGGTTTGTGACCGTAACGTCCACATTGAACGACTTCTATGCGCGAAGAAATTGAGTATTCCCTTGAATCTGATAAACTTCGCATCAGATGTTTCCGCAGAGTCCTCTTCTTCTTCTTCCACATAATCATCGGTCTGAACTGCCTTCTGACAGCTTCTACTTTGGCAACCTACACGTTATTGATGTTAGAAATGCATTCCTTCAACCTGAATAACAGCACCTACCCTTCATCAAAGCAGATGCAATGTCTGCCACCGTCCAGATGACACAACACACGCGGAGGTCAAATCCACGTAATTGAACAAACAAAATGAGTACTGCGTAAACTAAGAGAAAAAGTGCAGGATAGCAGACGACGTTCTTCAGCATTTCAAGTGTGAGCGCGAGTTTGTGACCGAGTCGCGACTTGGTGTGCATCGATTGCTTCGCCATTTGAAAATCACCAACCTGTGACTGACAGCTGATTGTTAAATTGCGAGTGCAATTTATACAAAATATTGTGCGCCTATTTATCTTTCACAAATTATGCATCACAGAGCAGGTCTCTTTTATTCTGTCAAATCGCCTTTGCGCGCTTGAGAGACATTGAGATTAAAATTCCGGGAATAACTCCGTTGATAGCTCTCAAATTCAGCAATTCTTAATCGCCTGTTAAATGTGAGTTTTTTTCATATTAGCTAAATTACGCGGCAGTACAAATCTTTTAACAATGTCAAAAGCTGGTTCATTCATTCCCTCTCCTCCTCCACCTCCCTTCCCCTCGTGATTTCAGTAGTGACCACTTAAAGCCAATTCATGAGTGAATATCTCACGTATCGAGAAATAACTCGGGTTTAAGCCTTCGTCAAACCCATCCCACTGTGTAAGGTGCTTACAGTTCAAAAAAGATTTCTAATCGTTATTTTCTTTTCAAACAGGAGGGTAACATTGCACAATAACTCACAGTATGCACTTCGACTAAAGGAAGGGTTAGGCAAACTTTCAATACCTTCTGCAAACACACACAACCCTCGTATACTAAACAGGAGTGATGATACGGCAAACACGGTGAGACTAACATCCATCAGGAAGAGGACCTGGTACTGCTCTAGACGCTGATGCAGCTCCCTGGAGTACAGCGCAAGTTTCATCATCCATGGGGCAAATACACACTCTGAGGGATGAAAGTCATCTCAACAACAAAAGACTTCGGCTACAGTACACAATTTCACCCTTAACAAACCACCGTGCACCACACAAAAACGTGGCCCTGCAGAGGTTTACCACCTGTCGGATACGAAGATGTAGTTTGTGCACTAACTAAAATAATATGTGCAGACTGCTGGTGAGGCTAGCATTGGAGGCAGGGTTGAAAAGGAAGATAGGACTTCGCAAAACGTGTTTGCTCAAATGAATACTTTGGGCGAGAAGCGACTGGTAAACTCGTATTTCACTACGCATTGGATGTTATCTGCCCTCGAAGAGGGTGAGTACTCTGGACAGACATAACCTTGTTCACTGCGCTCTATTTAAAATGCCATTATTCATGACCAGTCCACACATTTGAAAGGCTTAAGAGACGAGAAAGACACCGTATCGCCTGCAACATTACACAGGTGGTCGTTGCATTGGTGTGAAGGAAGGATGGAGGTCTAGAGGCAGGAATGCATGTATGTGTAGAAGAGAAGAGCAAGCTGTGCAGTCTAATGAGCCATAGTAACGAAATCAAACGACGGAATAAATCTCTGCGGATTTTACATGAAATTTATCATACAGTTGATGCGTGAAAGTTACATTCAAACACGTAATGCATGAATGCATTCAACAATAATCATGCTTCTCGAATTTTTATGCTCTTCGTTTTCCATATTATAGTGAGTTAAAGTAATATGACACTGTGACTTCTAGAATTGTAGGATGGACATCGGTCCATGCTAGCAGCGTTCCAGAACTTTTACATGTCAGTAATACGTGATATGCCACAGAGTTTTGTCTCATCATGTATTCAGAGAGGGCTAAAGAGGTTCACTTGTACTTAAAGCAAATGCGCAACGCCATTGCCTATAAATAATGGAAACTATTCGAGAGACAAACGCAATTGTCAATTTATTAAAAAAAAATAATCATAAAACTAGCAAATTTTTCTTTGTGCAAAAAAAGGTTATAGCGTTTAAATTAGGTTTTAAAGGCTCTAAAGAAAATCTGATAATAAGATAACTTCACATGCTTTAAAAAAAATAATTTATTGCTGCGAAAATTTCCAGAAGAATTTATTCATTTTAAATCCTTTGAAAAATGGCTTTTTTCCTACATTAAATAACCCATGAGCGTACCTGGCGGCATATATGAAGGTTTCTGCCTGGGTGTCGGGCCGGCAGGTGAGTCTTGTTTGCCGTTTGTATTGATGTGCCTAGGGTTTCGAATAATAGTAGGAGATTTT